GGGGTAGCATGGGTTGGTTGAGGGTTGATGCTATTGCTGATTGGCTGTGTGTTTGATTTGAATTCTGAGGGGCTCATAGACTGGTTTTAGGTCGATGTGCCTATTGATGGAATTGCTTGTGGAGTGCCAGGCTTCCATAAATTGGTTAGCGTGACAGGTGGTAAAGTGACCAATGATTCTTGTATTGCTCCAATTGATTTGGTGCTGTTCAGTGTCAGTGTGGGTAGAGATTAGGGATTTGGGATTGTGTTATTTGACTGCCAGCTGGTATACCTGGATTCTGGTTTTCAATTGACATTGATGTTTGTTCCGGGTAGAACTTTTGCAATTGTTATGTTTGGATTTGTAAATTACATTGTTTCTTTCATCTTTCTGTGTCTTGTATTTGGTTCTGGATAATTCCTGGCAGAGTATGGCTATGGGTTTGTGAGCTATTGCTGTTCCTAGAGGTTGGAGAAATCTAACTGTCATTTCCAACAGCCCTTTTGTGTATGGGAGGGTTAGTTTTGCCTGGTGATTGGCTGTGTGGTGTATTGTGGTTTGGGTGCTGTGTGTCAGAATACAAAGTTTTTCGGATAGCTGTTGTGAAGAAAGACATCAAGCAGCCATTTCTCTTCTGCTTTTCTTAGTGCTGTGGTGCTGCAGTGTGTCCTGGCCCTTATGGCACTCCACAATTCCATCAAGACACATCAACCTACAACCAGCCCACAAATCCCAGAATTCAAATAAACTGCATAACCAACCAGCGATGGCACCAATCCTCAATCAACCGGTGTAATCTCCGCAACCAGCACCTCACCTCCCAATGTCCCTCACCTGACATGATCTTCCCTTCACAAGACCCATCACAAGACCTTGATCTGATGTGACCCTCACCTGAGGTGAGCTCCCTATCACAAGCCCTACTGACCACATGAAGCCCTTATAACTGAACACTGACACTCACATCCTCCAAGGTCGGAGAATGAACCTCCACCCTCATTCTACACTGGAGCTAAAAATATTTGCATCTATTGCTCAGTTTATATTATTTTGTTACAAATTAATGACATTATTGGTGCTTAGATGAATGTCTCAGGTCATTTTATAAAGAAGAGAGATTGGTTTGTCATGATGTCTTTATGAATATTTGGCTGCTAATATTGAAAATAGAACTGGGTGTGCTTTTTATGTGTAATGAGAAATAGGAACAATTTTTTCCTCAACCCTTCCTAATATGTGGCTAAGGGATATTCTTAGTAACTCTCACAAACTAATACAGCAGCTTCTATGAGGGAACAAAAATTTATGAAATAGTGGTAAGTGCATATTGATCTAAGCCCTACTCATTTTATATTTGCATCTTAAATTGTAACACTGAACCCAACATCCTGCAAATTTTGATTCACACACACTCCTTGGACATTTCTGAGCTAATCTAAAGCTTGTGATACAAGACTGGTAGTGCACAAAACTGAACTCTATTGGTCAAGTTTTCACCTTTTGATAAAATAATACTTAAAGGGGCTGATCTGTTTCTCAACAATTAGTGGGATAAAATAATGAATTGGAAATCTTCAGTAATCTAGATCAGTTTTCTTTAAATTTCTGCCTTCCAGGTGCACTGGATTTGACCTCCACAATTCCCAAAAAGCACAGCTTTGGAAAGATAAATTTAGATTTGTGCCTAACATAATTATGTTTTTTAAGTGATATATGGGATTATGGACAATTTTAATAAGTGGATCCCAGAACATTTCACAGACCATTGAAAGCTTGAGAATGAACTGAAGCTATTTTGTTTTCTTAACTTAAAATCGGAGCAGTTCCTGCTTAGTGAGAAATTGATTTTTTTTTTGTCTGATGATAATATTGTTTCCAGGAAGTTTGATAAGAGTAACATGTTCCTCCCATTCCTCAACTATTTTCCTGGCCCTCAAGGTACACAACACCCATATATGCTCCATTCATATTCTGAAGCTGAATGAGCCTCATTTGCCCTTCTCATCTTAGAAAATGTGAACAGAAAGTGCAATGAAGCTGCTACTTGTCAGTTCAAGGGGAAAGACATGGGACAAGTGAAATTATATTTAGGAGCTACTCTATTTCCTCTCCAGTCTCTGAAAAGAGTGCAGCATTGGGATAAGAGAGAAACCTCAAAAAAGGCACCTGCAGACTACACGAGAAGGGGCCAGAAATTCCCCATATTTCTTTGTAGTGATAATGGAAGATTATACCTAAAACTGAGCAACAGGTGCCAAGTTCCAAAGTTTATTGAGTCGGAAAGCAGTAAACAGCTTTGACATTTGAAATTCACAAAGCATTCCCATAATTTATTACCTTATGCTCTCATTCCCCAAGGCAGAAACAACCTATCAGCAATCATCAACGTAAAAAAAAAGGACTCCTGGCACTTAGAGAGCAAGGAAATGTAAAATGCAAAAGATTTTGGGCTATAAAACAGCAATAAGGTGATGTGAGTAACTCTAGCTCTGCCAGCCACTGTTCATTGCCTCTGATTGAGGTAAACTGAACTTCCAGATTCAGACCCTGACTAGCAGAAATTAAATAAGTCTGACATTTTTAATAACAATTTCAAGCACTGGCTGCCAGGGGCAACATTTCCTATGGAAATGTGCAGCCTGAGGTAGATTTAACATTTTTGTATTGCACTATTTGCATTTAATGACAAATCCTTTCAAAAATTCTCACTGTGGTAAAAGCCTCAAGGAGTCTCATATTTCAGAAAATTTAATTCATAAATGGTAACAAGCTCAAGATTAAAAACAAACAGGAGACAGAAGGACAGAGGTTTCTGGGCAGACAAGCTATTTTGTTAATTTAAAGGGAAAGAAGGGTCTAAAGAAAGGCATCCAATGTTTTGGCATGCCTGGGCCACACTGAGTGAAGAGGAATTGTCCTGGACCATATATAAAATATATAACATAGTTAACGTATATATATGTATGTATAATGTATAACAAACTTCATTAATTTTTCCTATTTTTTAAATTACAATCTTGTAGAACTACATTACTTACTCTTTAGGGCCACACGTGGCCCACGGGTTGGACATGGCTGGTGTAAAGAAAGCAGCCAATGGGTAGGATATTGGTCTAGGAAAGGAGAACAGGAGCCTGGACTGGGTCAATTCTCTTGTACAGATGGACAGCAAGAGTCTGATATTAAACAGATGGCCATGTGTCTTATTTCACAAAGGAAAAAATCAATTTAAAAGCATGTCAAACTGAAGAACTGCTAGCCAACATGGTAAAGAATCAAAAGAACAGGGGTTTTGAAGTTATCTATCAATAGTATCTGGAAAACAGACTAAACAAGCTCCCAAATCTCTTGTCAATTTTTTTCTTACTAAAGGAAAATGTATTTTATTCCTATTTAAATTATACTAATTATTTGCCTCTATACATTCCTATGCATAAAACAGAATACAAACCTCTTTATGCCTTCTTTTATTGCTTTTACTGGAGCTCTAAATTTTGGGGATAATTTAGTATACGAAGTTCTGCATCATCTCTCCTTCAAAATGTCAGCTGTGAAATTCTATTAATACATAGTGTTCAACACAACAAAAATAATGTTTAATTTAATTAAAGATGTTTTCATAGCAGTTAGAGGTTATCTTGGCAAACCTGCACATAAACTCAAGAATAACTGCAGAACTTGTCCTATCAAAAGATTTTAAAAGAATAACTGCAGAACTTGTCCTATCAAAAGATTTTCAAAAAGATTTTGAATTTCCCCTCAAATGTAAGGGAATGGAGAAATAGCTAAGAAGGAATTAAATGTCTCTGTTCCTGCTGTGATCAAATGTAGTCCCTCAAGCTACATTTTAGTAAAAGAAAAAAATGTTTGAAAAATAAGTTCGATATCTTATTCCATGTAGTTCACAGCAACTGCAGATATAAAGTTTTTCTCGTGCTGTTCCCACAGTAGAACAAATTTCAGTTATTTTTGAATAATCATTATTAATATAATAAAAGGTTGCCCTTGGAAACTCCTGTCTTTACTTTATATGCTAAATATTATGTACTTTGACATATATTTTACTGCTGTCTGTTAACAGTTAACATTGTATGGAGGGGTCACCTAGTGCTATGGAGAATATATGTAAAGGTAGTATAGGGATAAACAATCACGTGTTTCCTAATAACTATGTAGAAGCATCTTACACCGCAAATGAAAGAAATTCCTCAAGCGCTGATTTGCTAAATACACCTTTGGTTGGTTAAGTTACAACTGTTTTTCTTTCAGTCCTAAATTTTAGCCTTAATTTCAGACTTCAAATGTAAATGCTAGTTATTAAGATTTTATTAATATCCATGGCTGAAAATATACAAGATAAAGATTGAAAAGAGCCTGTTTAGGTGAGAATGAAGCCCATCCTCATATATAGCTCTTCTGTGTTCCCCATCATGTGTGAGAAAGAAACTTTGGACAGTAAGCTTCATCACCAAAGCATCCAACATTAGCAGTACAGTACAAAACATTTATAAAGAAGGGACAATATGCTTCCCCAGGATTAATTTGTGGTCAGTTTGGAGCTTCTGAAAATTAACTTTGGCCACAGTGAATTTTCTAACAATTATGCTGTATTTTTGTGCTATGGTAGCAATTAGTATTGCAGCTCTCCTGCTTAGCTATGGACCTTAATACTTACTTATCTGTACACAAAGTAAGGAGAGCATTATCTGAAATTAGAGAAGTCCACTGAACTCCTTCCACAATTACAATATGGAAAGATTCTGAATGCACCAGATGTAACGTAGTGTATACAATTACAGTTCTTTCTTTCCAGATACCTGGGAAATACAGTGGCAAGTTTGGCTGCATCTTGTTTCCTAGAAAAGGAACAACCTCGAGTGGCAGTTAGCAACCATTGCTATTTACAAAGGACTCTGGATCCAGAAAGGATGGTTTGATATGTTTGATATGTTTGATATATTTGATATATTTGAGATATATACATACATACATACATACATACATACATACATACATATCTGGCAGGCACAAATTAAAGGGATATTGTGAGATGTTTAAATTTCAGAAGATGATTTGAGAGAATTCCCTAGTTCCAATAAGTCAAAAATGCCAGCAGATAAAACCCATAGAAGTTTGCTAATTTTCATCAGAATTTAAACTGGTTATTGGAAAGACATTGCTTCTCAATTAACTAGACAGCAGCATCCACCTGGCTCTTCCTTATGGACAACTGATTTACTTAAGCCAGAAAAACTGTGACCGTAGGCCTACTTCAGCAGTGTCCTATTCTCCAGGAAAGTCTGCAGGTCCAGAAGAAGAGGATTCTGCAGCACTCTTCCCCATGCTAACTTTCTTGGTTCCTTAAATCTATCTTCTGTTGGGCTGCTTCCTCCTTTCTTTTCATGACCTCCAATACAGCCAGCTCCTTGGCTTCTTTCTTCTGATTCCGAGCTTCAAATTCCAGCCTATAATAACCAAGAGATCCATAACTGTACAGAGATTTAATTTCATTTCTCTTGTTCAAATTGCTGGGCAATTTTGATGTTCTTATGTCTGCTCTGAACTGTTTCTAAAAATTTTCTTCTACAAATCAGATGTACAGTGTTCAGAAATCAGAAAAGGGTGCTTCAGATCCACGAAAGTCCTGGGTTATACAGTGGCCTCAGGAAAAGTATGGCTCTTAAAGAAACAGTGATCAATACAAAGATAATGCCCATGCTAATCCAAAGCATAATTTCCTGTTCAAAATCCAAATACTGAGCAATTAAGTAATTTACCATGTCTTCTTCCTAATTTGTGAAAGGTATTCTAGTTGCAATATTGGTTATTTTTAAAGGAAATCAGAATATAACTAAATGGTACTTCAAGCAGCCCTGGCATTCTGTAACATATAGATTAATGTAGACCTGAAACTATAGGAAAAATTTTGAGCATTCACATGATATTGTAAAAAATATATCTTCAGAACCACAGTTATCTAACTATGAATTGAAGTGGGTAATTCATGGTTTGTGGACTGCACATGACCTCGAAAACACATTTCTGCAGCCCTCAAAATTAAGCTGCCAAATTTAGTTGAAAACTATTCAGAGGTGGCTGCATGATCTTCTAGTGCAGGGGTGTCAAATTCACGTTGTCACTGCGGTGTCACGTGACATATTGGGACTTTCCCCCCCCCCCTTTGCTAAACTGGGTATGGGCGTGGCCAGCATGTGACACATCAGGCCCACAAGCCATGAGTTTGACAACCTTGTTCTACTATACAAGGATTACTTTAATATACTTTAATGTGTTAGGTAACTGTTTAAAGATGCCCCAAACCCATCCCAGTGCAAAGACAACTAGAAAAATATAATAATTTTCACTGAAGCTCAGTACTGAGAAATCAAAATATATCCCCATACAAAACAGAATACTTCTATGTAGGTTCTTCCTTCTTTTTTCTGTAAGTTATTATTTTATGAGTAAGATAATTGGCTTAGTGCTGGGTCATAAAAAGATAGGTCCCATGAATGAAGACTTTATAGCAGCAGAATCAAAATCCTATCATACCACACATATAATTACAAGCAGCTAACCTGTTCTTAATTATTCTTTTCACTATCAGATCAGTGGTGAGATTGTTGCCACTGTCTATCATCCGGAAAATACTACGCCTCTTGGGTTCCTGCAGATACAGAGAATAGAATGAATGGATGAATTAATGAATGAGTAATGAAAACAAAATATTTTACAGCAGAAATGAAGGGCAGGGGTCTCATTTAACATAGGCCATGGGGCTACAACTGACAGAGCAATGTTGTACATCAGTGGGTTTAGGAGGACTCTCTTGGATTTGGGTTGCATGTGTCTTATTTTTTCTTTCTTTCTTTCACTAACTACTTTAAATACTTTAGTGTAATAAGATTGGGACTGGGTTAGGGACTTCTGTCCTCACTGTGAGTTGTGTTGAGGGGGAGGCGTGCATGAAGGGAGGCTCAGCCAATCTCATTGTAAACATGTTGTACTCTGACAATAACGGTAACAATAATTTATAGGACTTGTGTCATGCTATCTCAACATGGAGGAAATTATGTCATCATTTTCAGGAACAGTGATAAGACATGATTCCAGAAAGCCTCATCCAAATCAAGAATGTTTAAGAGCTAAACATAATCTTAGTTTTTTGGTGCCACTCCTGCTTTTCAGCCATTGTCCGGAAGACAGCATTAATTCTTATCAAATAGGCTGAAAAAGTTCCACAAATGTATACATGGCAGTGCAGAAAGAAAAAGTCAATAAAACAATTAGAATTGGAGAAAGAAAGGAATTCTGCAGTTTAGCACTGCAATGAGACAATTCACAATTGGCCACAATTAGTTAAATAGACTATAAGCTATATTCTTACTGGTCATCTGACCACAGAGTTGTTTAAAAATGCTGAAAGAAATTTATTTCCCTGTCATATATTGTGAACATAGGCCCAGATAAGGGAAAATAATAGGTTTCCATCATTCTTACCTGATATGGATCTGATCCATCCTTGTCAGGTACCACCTCGGTCATCCCATGGCACACAAGATCCACCTACACAAAAAGAAAACTGTTAGCATCTTCTTTAGTCTTTCTTTGTCTGGAGGCTGATTTATCACAATATAGCAGGCACAACTCACCTATATGATACAGGCAATATGTCCCTCACTGAAGCCACTATATATTGGCAAATGCTCTAACGTGTGTAACTTCCCAACTGTCTTCCAGATGCTGTAGCCTCACCTCATATCTACTTCAAGCTATGTTCAAGTTATCAATAACCCTGTACACTATACAACCCATGACTCATTGGGTCATTGTTTCAGAGCTATTTCCTCACCTAAACAGAGAAACAGAATGACCATGGATGGGCAAAAACTATGGGAACAGGAGTGATTTCCAACCTCCTGCCCCATTGACTTTCCTAGCAGGAGGCTGGCAGGGAGTGCCGGAAATGGCAATCATGTGATTGCTGTTGACTGCAGCAGCACTGAAGCCATCATAAATTAAACCAACTAGCAGTACCTGAACACACTTGTAAGTGGATCATAAGCTTCCTAACAGACAGGAAGCAGCAGGTGAAGCTAGGTGGAATCACATCTGATACCTGTACAATTAGCACAGGGCCCCCCCAAGGCTGTGTGCTATCTCCACTTCTCTTCTCCCTGTATACCAATGACTGCATCTCAAATGATCCATCTGTTAAAATACTGAAGTTTGCTGATGACACAACAGTGATTGGTCTCATTCGAGACAATGATGAATCTGTATACAGACAGGAGGTTATACAACGCCTCGTGGTGTAACCGGAACAATCTGGAACTGAACACACTCAAAACCATAGAAATAGTGGTAGACTTTAGAAGAAACCCTCCTATACTACCACCTCTTACAATACTAGACAACACAGTATCAACAGTAGAGACCTTCAAATTTCTAGGTTCTACTATATCACATGACCTAAATTGGACACCTAACATCAAAAACATCGTCAAAAAAGCACAACAAAGAATGTTCTTTCTGCGCCAACTCAGAAAGCTCAAACTTCCCAAGGAGCTGCTGATCCAGTTCTACAGAGGAACTATTGAGTCTGTCATCTGCACCTCTATAACTGTCTGGTTTGGTTCTGCAACCCAACAGGACAGACACAGACTTCAGAGGATAATTAGGACTGCAGAAAAAACAATTACTACCCACCTGCCTTCAATTGAGGACCTGTATACTGCACGAGTCCAAAAAAGGGCTGTGAAAATATTTACAGACCCCTCACATCTCGGACATAAACTGTTTCAACTTCTACCCTCAAAACGACACTATAGAGCACTGCATACCAGAACAACTAGACACAAGAACGGTTTTTCCCCAAAATCCATCACTCTGCTAAACAAATAATTCCCTCAACATTGTTCAAATATTACAAAGTCTGCACTACTATTACTGTTAATCTTCTCATCACTCCTTATCACCCATCCCCTCCCACTTGTGACTGTAGGACTGTAACTTTGTTGCTTGTATCCTTATGATTTATATTGACTGTTTCCTAGTATGATTTGATTGTTGATTGTACCTTATGACTATCATTAAGTGTCGTACGTTATGATTCTTGATTCTTAACGAATGTACCTTTTCTTTAGGTATACTGAGAGTATTTATACCAAGACAAATTCCTTGTGTGTCCAATCATACTTGGCCAATAAAGAATTCTATTCTATTCTATTCTATTCTATTCTATTCTATTCTATTCTATTCTATTCTATTCTATTCTATTCTATTCTATTCCATTCCATTCCATTCCATTCCATTCTCCATTCTATTATATTCCTTATTCTATTCTATTCTATTCTATTCTATTCTATTCTATTCTATTCTATTCTATTCTATTCTGTTCTGTTCTGTTCTGTTCTGTTCTGTTCTGTTCTTTTCTATCATAATTTTTGCTAAATTTCAATCCCATGGGAGTCATGGTTCCCAGGTGCATTCTGTAAGCCTATTTAAGGTATGTTGATTCAAAACTGTTGCCCTATGATGCATCATTTTGCCCTATTTTTCATGAACCAGACTTAAGAATTTTAGTTATATATATGTGTGTGTGTGTGTGTGTGTGTGGAGAGAGAGAGAGAGAGAGAGAGAGAGAGAGAGAAAGAAAAAGAGAAAGAAAGAAAGAAAGAAAGAAAGAAAGAAAGAAAGAAAGAAAGAAAGAAAGAAAGAAAGAAAAAGAAAGAAAGAAGAAAGAAGACATCCTCACCTTGAAATGATCGAGCAGATCAGCAGTGACTGAATAGGGAGCTCCAATCACGACTTCAGAAACATACTAAAGACAAGGGGGGAAAAAGCCAGCCATAACTACACGGTCCCACACATCTATTAATTATTGTTTTAATTAGTGAATTTTAAAAAGTAAGGTTTTAGGAGACAAATGGAGCATTGAAAGATTCCATAGATAATGAGACTTACATTTGTGGCATGTGCTAATAGGGCTATAGTTCAGAGACATAGTAATTGAAATCTCTATCTTCTAAATCAGGAGTCCCTGACCTTTCCAGCTCTGTGGACCTCTGGTGGCGGAGGGGAGAGGGAATGGTTTTGTGCAAGTGAGCTGTTTGCACAAATGCAGCTTCGTGTTGTTTGCGTGGCCTGATTCCCAACAGGCTGCGTCACAGACCAGGGGTTGGGGACCCTTGTTCTACAAGTTCCACCGGAAAAGAATAGGCTCTCTTTTATAAAATGTCTAGAAAGAGCCAGTTTGGTGTAGTGGTTAAGGTATTGGCCTAGAAACCATCTGACTCTGAGTTATAATCCTGCCTTAGGCATGAAAAATCGGCTGAGCAACATTGGGCAGTCACTCTTTCCCAGCCCAACCCCGCCACCCCTCATAGGGTTGTTGAAGTGGGGAAAATAGGAGGAGGATGGTGTTTTAAATATATTCACTGCTTTGAGTTATTTATAAAGTAATAAAGGATAGAAGTCTAAAAACAAACAAATAGTGACTCAGGGAAACCCCCAACGACAAAATATAGACTTTTAAGAAAATCAGGACACTGATTTCCGCATGAAAAACCAGCTGGGTATATTTGGGCTAGTCACGGTCATTCAGCCCATCTCACAAGGTTGCTGTTGTGGGAAAAATAGGAAGAGCTGAGCTGTATATGGAAAAAAGGTGGGATAAAAATCTTTTAAAAATGCTTAGGAAGCTCCTGACAAAGATACTGGCAGTCCTCAACTTGGAAGAGTGCATTGAGTGACCGTTCAAAGTTACAAAGGCACTGAAAAAAGTGACATGACCAATTTTTCACATGACTGTTACAGCATTCCCAAAGTCACATGATCAAAATCCAGACGTTTGGCAACTGACTCATATTTATGATGTCTGCAATGACCCAGGATCACCTTTTGAGACAAACAAAGTCAATGAGGAAGCCAGATTCACTTAACAACGGTGTTATTAACTTAACAAGTGCAGTGATTCACTTAACAAATGTGGCAAGAGAGGTCGTAAAATGGGGTAAAAGTCACTTAACAACTCTCTCACTTAGCAACAGAAATTTTGGGCTCAATTGTGGTCGTAAGTCAAGGATTATTTGTATATGCACCATTCTATTCCCCATTGTCCTATTTAAGTATTAGCTACTTAAATATCATGAACCCCACCATATCATTATTTCATTATTTGTTTTTAAAAAATTAGTGAATTTGGAAGTTTGAAGAACATACAGGTAGTCCTCAACTTACAACCACAATTGAGCCCAAAATTTCTGTTGCTAAATGAGAAATTTGTTAAGTGAGTTTGCCCCATTTTATGACCTTTCTTGCCACAATTGTAAAGTGAATCGCCACAGCTGATAAGTTAGGAACATGATTGTTATGGCTTCCCCATTCATTCTGATTTTGAAAAGGTTGCAAAAGGTGATAACAAGACCTTGGGACACAGAAATGATCATAAGTATGAGTCAGTTGCCCAGCATCTGAATTTTGATCACATGATCATGGGGATGCTACTAAGGTCATAAATGTGACAAACTGTCATAAGTCACTTTTTTCAGTGCCATTGTAACTTTGAACAGTCACTAAATGAACTGTTGTAAGTAGAGGACTACCAGTGATTTCTTTTTTCTTTTTTTTTGAGAAACATTCAGTTTTTAAAAATATATTTGTTTTTACTCTACAGTTATTCCATGGAATTTAAGACAATATTTTTGGGTCACTAGATGATCAACCAAGCCAGACCTGTTTCACTGCAGGATGGTTGGCTTTATTTGCTTTAGTTTCTCTTTATGTCCTAATTAGAAGAGAATGATTCTAGCCAAATACTCACTCTGCAGGCCAAAACACTGAGAGTTCGTTCATGCACATTCATTATGGGATAATTCTTGCCCTTATAGAGATTCACTTCCTGTAATTAAATTATAGCAATTACCATCAGATACTACATTCATCTCCACAGTAGATAAAAATGAGTAAATAGTTTTCCAACCAAGCCATACAGAACTGATACTCACTTGGTCAAAGTGCAGCCCAACAATTATATAAGGACGCTCTGTTATTTGGTGCACTCTCTCCAGAAAATCCACATGACCTACATCTAATGTATACATTAAGAAAGCAAAGCTCGGGCACTAAATGAAGCTAACAAGACATAAGTTATGTTCTTTCCTTTTCACAAACTTTCTATTTCTTTTCCTAGTAGCTCACAATAGTTGTAGATTACAAAACTTACAATAACTAGTCAAGGCTCATGCCCAGAAAAAGTTCTGGAATTGATTGCAGGAACTATTGGCAAATGCTTGTTGTACTGCAACCTTTAGCATCTGCAGCCTGGGTTTTTTTTTAAAGATATGCTTATATTTATAATTAATGGATATTCATCCAACATGCTCTAAAGATTGAGGGGTAAGACACAAAATAGTGGCTGAGTAAAGTAACTATTACAAAATAGTTAAGTCAGAGAGAGAGAGAGAGAGAGAGCCAGATTTATTCTGGGGGTTGGGTGGGCAGGGGAGATGAGGCAAATTCTGCTTAAGAGGATATTATTTGGGATCAGTTTTCCCACCGGAGGGCATAATACAGCTTGAAAAAAGGAGCATTCCATTTTCTTGAAGTAGGCTACAGAATATGTGTCACTTTTTCACATTACTTTCCTAGATTAAAATAAAATCCCTTATCATACAAGGTTTTTAGACAGATAATGAACATGCCTCTGTTATAATTCTTTTGAAGTTTGGACATATCACTAAGAATTCTCAGCTAAAAGTACACTTTACTATTAGATAAAGTTACATTTGCCTAAGTTCCTAACTGGAAGAACTTGATTTAGTATTTCTAAATCAAAACAACCTGAAGAACTGGTTAAGATATGAAGTATAGGCGGTTCCAAAAACAGGTATGAGGGCTTTCTAATTTGCTGCAAGAAACTCTTAATTCCAATCTACCCCAAAGAAAAAAAATCTAGGATACGGAAGAGATCAAAGGCTCCTGCCACATAGATTATGGTATCTCCAGGTTGAGGCTCCTTGCCAGATGCAAATTGGATGATCTTCTGAGATGTTTGCAGAAACTGAGAAACTCCAGTCCAGGGACTATGACCTTTAGGGCACTGGAGAAAAAAAAGAAAATCTTTTAATATTTTTGCAGCTATTGGAGTTAGTTCTCTTCCAATATAATATAATAAGTGCTAGAAACTGTTTAGAGTGGAAAGGAAGATTAGCTCCACCAGGTGGCATTCTTTGGGACTGCTTCTACAACTCAGTAGAATGACTTCATGGAATGTATGCAGATTACAACTCTAGTGGCAAAGAGCAATGTAATTGTAGTAAGACATATAAATCTATACAAGTCTTCAAGGCATAATAGTAATTTCTTACATAGGGTAGCAGTTCTGTATCATAAAGAAGAAGCCAAATATAAAAGATTTTCCATGTACATCCAGATGTCCTATATAGATATTCCTTGAGACCTTTGCAAAGCTTGAAAGTAGTTACAATGGCCCCCAAATAAACTATTACAAAACTGCTCTGAAATCCATGCTTACAAGTCTGTCCTTTTATAAGAGTCTCTAAATAAAAATGGGAAATAAAGTGATTTTTGTTTTATTCATATCTTTCACATATTGGTATCATTAAAATATTTCTATAGATTAGCAGAGGAGCAAAGGACAAAACAAGTGTTGCATCACTGCTGCATAAACTCCACTCCTTTTCAGACTGAACTTTTTTGCATGAAAGAGAGGAGGAGGAAGAGGAGGAGAAAAGGAGAAGAAGATCACAAAATAGAATGACTTGCAAATAGAATTGCAATGATTGTGGCAAAAGAAAGTAAACATAGTACCAATTACATCTTGGGTGCAATCCTAAAACATCTGGAACCTCACTTAAACACCATAATTATTCACAAAATCGCAACCAGTTAAATGCAAAAGGCAGCTTTACTTAGAACAGCTTACATCCTGTGATAATATCCTTAATATAATCAGATAACAACATCTGCATTTCCCAGATCCTTGGGAAGGACTTGATAGATGGATAAAAATGCCAAATCCAGTCTAAACATCTGGCTGACTGTGCAATCAACCATAATAATAATAATAATCAATCTCTTTACAATTAAAAAAATGGGGAAACTGAAATAGTTTAAATGAATAAATCATCAATTTCAGATAACTCCAATCATTCTAAATTTGGAATAATTCCACTGGATTATTATATTTGATTACGCATAAACTGCATGGAGTGGAGGCACATTTGTGATGTGCCTCTGTTGTCAATTCTTACCTTTCCTAGGTTATCTGCATGCTTCCGATAATCTGTATCTTCAACCTAAAAGATAAAAGAAACATATTAATGGTAAAGAAATTTCAGTGGCCCATCCAACAAATGAAAAGAACATTTGGAATAAATTAGATACAGCAGGCCTGCCATTCCTAAATTTTGCTCAATCCCCCCGCCCCCTTGAGATCAGTGCTGATTCCTGCTGACTACATGGACAACTCCATGAAGTTTTCTTGGCAGCATTTTTAGAAGTGGGTTGCCACTGCCTTCTTTCTTAGTGCTGAGAGATAGACACCCAGCTGGCTTCTGTATTTTAGGCAGGACTAGAACTTAAGTCACCCAGGTTCTACACTAAACTGGTTCTCATTAAACATTTTATACCCATGTAAAGAAAATCCCTCAACTGAAAAAGGTACAGTTATGCAAAGCTTTAAAAGCATGCTTTCTTCTAATCACACCTTGAACTGTACAAGACAATGTGTACTTTGTCCCCATGCCTAAAAGAAAACAAAACTGCCATGTTACTTTTATTCATATCATTCCAAGCACCTTTAGGGGTACCGGAACTGCCGAATGAAGCCTGAGGAGACACAGAGTGAATTATGATGCTTCTGTACTTTAATGAGGTGAAATGTATTGACCTCATAGCATGAAATGCCTGGCTGTGTAAAGGACAGATATTTTATATACTTCTAGAAACCAGCTCAGCAATAGTTCAGAAGCACAGTATGGTCTTCCAGCTTCAACCACAGAAACAAACAGACTAAATATATTCTTAGCTCAATTGCCCATTTAGTAAACTGCCATAATTTAAGCACTATTTTATAAGTATACATAAATGCAACTGACCTAAATTAAATCCATTTGCCAAGTAAGGCAACCTCATTTCCTCTTTCCAAACCCCACACTTAACTGATGATCCACATAATAACATTTCAACAGTAAGTTATTTTCTTTCCTTCTTGGCAGCACATCTGACGCGCACTGCATCAACTTCAAATAGACTTCCCTAAACATACATTTTTACTTTGTTTTGGCATCTGCTGCCTGTATCAAACAACAATAATCATGGAATCATATTAAAGAATAATCAGAGAGCTTATAAACTTCCCCAAAATTGATTTGAGAAACTCTAAAGTATTACTACCCTCTGATCGAAAACTAGATCAGTAGTTCAGAGTACTGACCATCTTGGAATTCGCCAAGCCATTTTTCACTTACAATGTTGCTGTGATGGGCCTTGGTCATAAGCAACATCCGGCCAACCAGATCTGTAGTAGACACTCCCTGGGTGCGTTTACATTCCCTGAAACAAGACAAGATTCAAGATGGGAATTTTGCTATTCACTATTCACAATGTTAGCAAAATCCTTCTCTCTAAATCAGCTTTGCTGGCTGAGGAATTCTGGGAGTTGAAGTCCACAAGTCTTAAAGTTGCCAAGGTTGGACACCCCTGCTCTAAATCTTTTTGTTTGTCTGAGGGTATTTTGGCAGACTCGTTTTTTCCTATTTTTTAAAAAAAAATGTTTTGAGTTTTTAACAAGAAAATAACCTTCTTAATTGTTAATGATACAGAACACTAAACAGTAACCCACTATTTCCCATGTTTCCCTCCTTAACTCTTTCTGTTACTAATAAGTTCCATGGTTTTTGGAATAAAGGATTTGTAATCTTCACTTATTCATCTGACATATTCATAGCTGAATAAGAGCTAAGGACAAAACCAGATCAATATAATATTAATCTAATATAATATTCAACTCTTATAGAGGAGAAGCAAACTATGGGTGCAATGAAAAAAAAATTAACAGAGCATTTCAGGATCTCTGAGCAGAATAACATAAATAGGGATTTACCTATATCTCCCAGCTTTCTTCACCTCCTCATAAGTATCCTTGCCATCTGCAGTAAGTGTGATGTCATCTATTTAAAAAAACCACTGCTGATAAATTGGAGGAGCTGCTTAGGTATCTAATCAGCAAATTCCTATAATATGCATTTTAATTAAAGTAAACAGATATGCAAGCTGAGGTAAGAAAGATTTTTACTAGTTATCTTAGTCTTGAAGATAATCACTACAATCAAGTAATTACAAGCCGTTTTGATCTCCATTATATTTCTGTTCTCAAAAGCAAGACACATTGCACTATTAATCAACCCATACTTGTATAGCTTTATTACATTATACCAGTTGCACAAAAATGAGGATGATGCTGTATATCAACAAAGATAGCAAAATAAATTTACTATTTATTTTAACCAGTAAAGCCGACTTCTAGTAGCTAGGTAGGTATATAGTGGGAGAGATAAGTGGGTACATCAAGCTCCGTTACTCACCCCCATGTACACAGAAGTCACAGTTGTATTTATCCAGAGTTTCAAGTGTTGTGACATAAGGAGCTCCCTGTACAATCTCATCTACCCACTTGATGGCGTTCACTATTTTGTATCTTTCTTCCTGAGTAAAGACAGGGGGGCCTTTATGTTTGGATATTTCATCTATGATTTGGTATAAAAAGGGAGAGAAAAAGAGATGATTATCAGGCCTGTGTATACATCCCATGCCAGTATTGATTTTCCAAAAACTTCTACAGAAGGAAAAATATTTTAAAAATCTGGATAGCCCCAGGAAGCAATCTCTGACTCTACAGTACTACAAGATGGTAAAGACTGAAGCAGGATTGTTCTTCTCCTGATTAGGCAATTGCCAACTGTTTATAATAATTTAGTTTATTTTTTTTATAAAATACTATTTTATGAGACACATATACATTCATGCTTGTTTAGCTATATTGCTCATTCAGCAAGAAGCTTGCGTAGGGTACAGTATCAATTTTATTGACAATGAATATTCCAAGTACAGAACTTAAATAATGATTATTTTGGGCAAAATAATTTAGCTTACTATTAAGATTACCATCTAAAAATACAAAACCTTCCAAACACATTGTGAATGCCAATGTATATGCCAAACTGTAAATCCATATTTCATTGAGGAGTCATTATTTCCCGACACACAGATGCAGAAATATCCTAGCCTTTCCCTATATTCTGGGGATTGAAATTCTGAATTCTTTTAAAGCAAAAAGGAAGAACTAGAGGAGGAAAAAAGCTATATAGACCAAGACTTGGGAAGCTGGGATTCTGTCTAACTCCGCAGCAGCCTCAGAATTAATATGTTGAACTACTCAGGAAGCAAAGAGTCAATTCAAGGGGAATGTAAAATAAAATAAAGAGAACAACTAATGACAGAGGGACATAATTGTCAATGGTTTTCTTATTCATAGTTATCAGATTTAAAATACATAAATAATTAGTGAACAATATTTGAAATGGAATTGTATATACATGATGGATATCTTCATTTAGCAATTGCCAAAATGTATACATTTTTAATAAAATTTGCAATAGAAGAAAGTCAAAGAATTTAGGATAAAGAAGGCTACAATTTTGGTTTTAATATACAGATCTAACAATGAGAAAATATGTGGTTTAAAGGACTGAAATTTTCCTTGTTACAATTTTAGAAATTTTATTAAATGATGTACTGTTGGTATATGGCACCAGAAAAAATTATCCAGAATGTATAAATATTCTTCAAATTTATGTTAGAAATGTTAACAATTTTTTTTATCATGCTTGATGAATGTGTAAAAAAGCTAGAAAACCTTGGGCTCAAATACACACAGTGATTCAAAGGATTTCAAAGACTGAACTTTTTGTCTCGGGACTGATGGATAAATAGTTAGAAAAGAGCCAAGAAACACTGTTTTGCAGTGAGATTACGGTATTATTATTATTTGAAAGATCTGGCAAATACCTGTAAATGGAGGAAATAGTTGATAAAGATGTTAGAACTTGCTGAAAGGGATAAGTTGACTTGTTCGATTAGAAAAAATACAATATCTACATTTATTGGTGAATGGAAATCCCTTATGGACTTTTTGCCAAAAGTAAAAGGAAATAAATAACATGTTTTAGGCTTTGACGATTAGACAGGATAGATTATTGAAAGAAAAGAGTCATGATGTAACTTTAGAGAGAAGTTAATATATAATTGTACTGTAGCTGGTGTGAAAAAGATTGGAAGCCATTTTCATATGTTTCTTGATATCTTTTTTCCTGCATGTATATGTGTAGGTATATGCATATGCATATTTGTTTCAGGAAAAGAAACACAGGTAAAAATATTTAGCTAGGAATGTTGCATTGTTTAATCTTTCCATGATGTGTTAAAGTGTCCTGGTTTTTAATTTTATTTTGTACAAGTTTGTTAATTATATGTATTTCAGCCTTTATTCATTTCCTCAATTTATGCATGAGACAATAATTTTAGAATCTTTTCTGATCATTGATTAATCTGAAGCTTTCAGCAATATGTAATTGTGGTAAAATGCTTATTTGTAGCAGACTAATAAATCCTGTGGTCTGCTGGGAGTATTATAACTCTTATGTAAATGTTCTTTTTAATAAGACTATTTTTCCATAATCTGAGTAGCTTTATAACCAATCTCGTTCATTATTAAACTCTGGCATTTTGGGACATTTAAAATTGAATAGCTTATAGCTATTATATCTTTTCTTTCTTTAATAAAGTTTGATTTTGTTTATATCTTATAAGATCGGTCTATCTCCTAAGGGTGAGAGAGCAAGGGGTGAATTCTCTTGTTAGATATTTTTGAGCTACATGGCAAGGAGGTGCAATATTAAAATTATTCATTTTTTTGCATTTAATTTTTTTCCATGTTTCACTCATTAGAAAGAGAGCACATGTTGTCAGAGCAGTATGTCTCTCATACACTGAAATAAGAGTTGAATGCTGGTGAGGTGACTCTAGAAAGTAGGCTGTGGCACTGCGAATTACCAAGTTTCCACCTGAAAGCTTCCATAGGACCAAGATGTGAAGACTCATACAGCTTCAGGGGAAAAAGTGCTAAGAACTCCAGCATCTGTTTCTACAGGGTCAACTGTTTTGCTATCTATTATTTAAATTTAACAATATTAAGAATGAACTGAGATTAGAGGATTATTAAGAAATAATGTTCTTAGGGCATTAAACTAAATAATTCGAAGAGAGATGAATCACACTGAACTAAAATTAATCCAATGTTTAACCATGTTCTTCTAAAATATAATGTAGTTTATTCTGATTTGGTTCTGTGTATTGGTACCCAATACCGCTCTACAATGATCCACAATTTGAAAAGTATAGTTGATGGCAATCTTTTGCAGATTCACAGAATACCCCAAAAGTCATGCCACTAAAATTTGGTGGCACATTAAAAACAATCAGCAATGTAATTTTTCACATTGGAAAATAGTTTTAACATATCAATTTCACTTAAAAAATCCAAACTGCCAAAAATGTTTAAAAAGAAAAAGGATTGAAAATTACTAACCCTAACCCTCTGATGATGTCACCATGTCAGTATCATGGTCCATGCATGACCCTCAGCAGCTGAAAAGAAAAATGAAAATGAAAGTATGGCTCTTGGATTCAAACAGGATGACTATTCCTGCTTCAAAGTTAGTGCAATGTGTGAACCCAATCAACTCAATAAACAATAGGTAAAATTCATAGCTTAGCAAGATATATGAATCCAGCCATCTCCTACAATAAGAATCGGTTTGGAGCATTCATTGAGTATGAATGTTGCTTTAAATACATTTAAGGCAGGGAAAACATATCTCTCCCTCCATCCCCATATTTTTATCTACCTTTGTTCTTTTTTCTGTGTCGTCATGTTTCAGTTGGGAGTTAATGAAGCCTTTATTTCAGTTTTAGCTCTAGACAATTCCCCTCCTTTCCTATCTGATTTTAAAGAATGTAATTGGACATACTTCAGTAAAATATTGGGATGAAAAGAATGGACTGAACTTGAAAGCTATTATTTGGTCTTCTTACAATTCTGTTCTAGTGATTGTATTATATGAGTTTGCTATTTAGTTTTTTTTTTTTTTCAGCTCATAAGGTAGGTCCTGCTGGAAAGAAAATTAAAGTTTGATTCCAACTCTCATGAAAAACTAACATTGTGGGATTATGCCTATTTAAAAATTCTGGAAGATTTTTTTTGTGTGTGTGTGGGAGAACTTGGGCTGACAATGATATTATTAGCAAGCAATAAGTAGACAACTTCAAAACCCTTGAAGTTTTACAAAATGAATTTATTATTTATTTATTATTTAGCATGTGATGATAACATGACAAATTACAAAAGGAATGTAACCTACCTAATACAGCCAAATAGTAATGCCGGTAGTTCTTGGTTAACTATGGTAATTGGGACCAGAATTACCATTAAATGATGCAGTAAAGCATGATGACACATGACAACACCGCCTAGTGATGGCAATTCCAGCATTCCCAGTTGCCATAATGAAGTGAATCACTACAGGTCATTAAGTGAGGACATGATGTGGTCACCATCTGTAAGCTCCCGCTGCTTCCCCATTGATTTTGTTTGTCAGAAGCTGGCAAGGAAGATTGTAGATGGAGGCCATGAGACTGTGGGATGCTGCAATATCATAATTTTGAGCCAGGTGCCAAGCACCCAGACCTCAGTCATGTGCAGGGACACTGCACTGGTCAAAGCTCCAAGGAGCAATCATAAGTACTACTCATTCACAGTCATCTCAAGTCTGAATGGTCATTGAACAGGTGGTTGTTACATGAGGAGCAGCTGTATACACCAACACTTTTGGTTTCATTGTTTGATCTTGATTCTAACATTTCAATATATATTGGAAAAAACATTTATAGAGATGTATTTATTTTAACAATTTATTATTAGCAAGTGTTAATAAAAATAAATTTGAATAATATACAAGAAATATGGCTGAGAGTTACAATAATTTTAAGTATGTTATACACAATTTAAAAACTAATTTAATTCAGCAAAAATATTTTTTCAGGCTCATAGGACTCCCCAAAGGTTGCTAAAAAAGCTTGGCTTTTATCCATTTTATGCTGGAGATGCAATACCTTTGAAGGAATTTTAATGCATTCATTGTGCTCATGTCCACTATAGGTAGTCCTGAACTTACAACCATAATGTCCACTGCTAAGCAAGGAAATTGTTAAATGAGTTTTGCCCCATTTTACGACGCTTTTAAGTGAATCACTGCAGTTGCTAAGTAAATCACTGTGCTGTTAAGTGAATCCAGTTTCCCCAATTGATTTTGCTTGTCAAAGGCTGCTGGGAAGATTACAAATGGTGGCTACATGAACCCAGGACAGTGCAACTGTCATAAATACATGCCAGTTGCCAAGCACTTGAAATCTGATCACGCGATCATGGGGATGCTATAACGATGATAAGTGTGAAAAATGGACATAAGTAATTTTTCAGTGCCATTGTATCTTCAAATGGCAACTAAATGAATGGTTGTAAGTCAGAGACTACCTTGTCTTTGACAAGGTTAATTAGTTAAATACTAATACTATGCTGAACCAAGTTCTAGGCAGGAAATTAATGTTAAAAAATGTCAGCGAGTTAAAATATATTCCGAGAAACTAGAATTTAACAATTTATGAAGACCTCTGGATAAATTGTATTTAGAAGGCTACAAAGGTAATGATGTTTGTGTACCAAAAATTTTATTTCAGGAAAATATGTCAAACTCAACCCTTGAACTAATTTTGTTTCAACCAAGACAAGTTCAGACCAGATGATATAATGTGTTCTA